ACGAGTTGGTGCCGTCGCCGTCGTTTATTCCTGTCCTCCCGTGGGCTAACACCTACTAGCTGAGCTCTAGGGAATGCTTGCTTGAACTGCCAACACCTACTAGGTATAAGCTTTCACAGTATACAGAAATTGCAATAGAGGACATGTATGGTGAGGGTGTTGGACAGAAAGTTTGGGCTACCATTACCAAATGCTTGCGTGATCTTTTTGAAGAATACAGGGCCAAGAATTCTTCCCCAAGTAATGTCAACCCCCAACCAAATGATTCAGCCCAATCTAAACAAGGTGGAGACAGCAATAGAAAGGGGAGGAGTAACATTGTAAGTAAAGAGGATGAAGCTGAACAGTGAAATAGGCAGTTCCAGTAGGGGCAGCAGGACTGAATTGGATAGGTACTTGGCTGACGAGTGTGAAGAAGATGTCAAAAAATTTGATATTCTTGCTTGGTGGAAGGGCCAGTACACTAGATTTCCCACACTTTCTAAATTAGCTCGTGATGTGCTCGCTATCCCAATCTCTACTGTTGCTAGTGAATCCGCCTTTAGCACAGGTGGGCGTGTACTGGATGATTCTAGGACTTCACTCACTTCATTTATGGTTGAAGCTCTTGTTTGTACTCAAGATTGGCTTAGAAGGGCAACTCCCATCAATTTGTCAGAAAATACAGAAGAGTTAACTAAACTAGAAGAAGGTAATACCTCTATGGCTCTATGTCATTTCTTTTGCTTGCTGTTTTCATTAATGAAAAAATTATTTATTGCATCCTCTTTTTATTTTATTTCAAAATTAATTCAAGAGTTCAAGGACTTAGCCATTATTGACGGCCATGCTGCCAAGTCACAAATTCAAGGCAGCAAAAGCGGGATGGTTACCTCCACCAACATCAAGTCCCAACCAACAAAATCCTTCAACACCAAAGCAAGCAAGAGCAAGTCCTCCAAGCCTACATCTTTATGACCATGTGAGCTAATTAAATATCATTCTTTCTAGTCTTCCAGGTTTGTGAACAACTCATGATTAATTCTATTGTTTCTTACTTGCTGCATAATGTTTGAGCCTTTTCAGGTTTGTAAACCAATGAAGGGGAGTGGCCGAGTGATGCTTGCTGGATACTTGCGCTGGACTGCTGTGCTGCTGCTGGTCCTAATTCTTGCTGGTGCCTCTCGCCTGATGCTGGCTTGCTGCTGGCTGCTGCGGTGCTACACTGCTGCCTGCCTACTGCTCAATTTGATGGGTCTGTTGTAATATGTACTGAGTACTAAGTAATATGTAATATTATTGATGGGTCTATTGTGGACAGCTATATATATTATGTATTTGTGGTTATCTACTCCTGTAGTCTTGTGACTTTTTATATGTATGATTTTGGCAATGTTATTCTATATGAGATCATGTTGAATTTCTGTCAAAATTGGCTATTGAACCTGATGTTACATGCTGTTGTAATCTGTTCGGCAATTTCGGTAAATACGGGAACCGAACCGAAAATACCGATACCTAGTTTCCTAAGAACCAGCTTTTTCAGGAACCGATCGGTACCACCTTCCTGAGGAACCGAATTTGCATAGGAACCGAAGAACCGAACGTTTCGGTAATACCGAACGCCCAGCGTGACTACGGAGCAGTACACAAACAAGCCTCGCTCTTCACATGTACTCCTACTACTATAGTAATAAATGCACACAGGTGTCAGGTCTTCCAATCTACCAGAACGCTCGGCTTCTATATGCCTAATAAATGCACACCCAACTTCCAAAAAGTGTCAGGTCTTCCAATGGGCATTAAATGTGAGACGAAAAGAAAAACTAATTGCAGAACGCTTTGGCCTAATTAGTCCATGTTTGAACACTATTTGCCAAATAAAAACGAACGTCTTGCACGATGTTTAAATCCAAATTTCTCCAACTAAACAAGGGCTAAGTGAATGTTGCAATCATTTGCACGCAGTTTTCGTCCAACCGAACATGCCGCCGTTAGCTTCCTACCATACCTAAGGCTCTCGCTCCTTCTAAAAATGCTCCAGACTCTGACTTCTCATATAGAGCAAATTCTCTGACGAAGTTAGAGCTAATTTGAAAAACGTTTGATAAAAACAGTCCTAGTTGTGTTTGGTTTGTGAGGAGCTAACAAAAAAAAATACTTTTCGGTTCCGGCTCTTCTATATAAAAACGCCTCTGTTTTCTTTGGGCTTCTTGTGAGGATCAGCAAGAAGCCAGAGTACACACAAGACGCGCGTTTTTTAATCCGTGTTTGGTGTACCAAATATAATGCATATATGCTTGTTTAGCTTGACCCCGTTGGAACTACACACAAGGCGCGCGTTCTTGTCATGCATGCTTTTGTTTTAGGGCCCGCGTGGTCAGTGGTGGCGATGGGGCAGAGGCAGAACGTCCCGCGGTCGTCGATACAGACAAAAACAAGGTAGGCGGAGAAGGAAGGAAGGAACAGAGGCGGCAGAGGGAACGGGCTGGCGTCCCACCTGCTGCCTGCTACCGCTGGAGCAGCGAGCCTGGGGCTGGACTGCACGTCTCGCCTGCATGCGCCGCGCGCGCGATGATTCCGATGATGCGCCTGTGCCTGGCCTAGTGGCCTGGCTGGAGGACACACACGGAGGAGTACATGCAGGATCAGAGGTCCCTTGCGGCAGCACGCATCGGGATCATTGCGCATCCGCTGTTAAAGACAAAAATCCTTGAGACTATTCTATCCGAATCGTTTGGAGGCTAAATCCGGAGTCCCTCATGGACCTGCTTTCCAACAAAAGCTTGACCCAGCAGACAACGTTGCGAACGACGCACAACTCCTGGGCCGGCCCAAAAACCTAATGACAGGCCAGAAGGGCGATCCAATCTCCGACCGGAAGGCCTGACCAGGGAGGAACGGCGTCCGCTTCCAACTCTGGCCTGCCTCTCCGACCGAAAGGCCTCGCTTTTGACTCCGGCCCGTCTCTCCAACCGGAAGGCCTGGCCAACAACGCTTCCAACTCCGACCCGCATCTCCGACCGGGGATACACCGAACCTTTGCTTACAGCTTTTCTCCGACTGACACAGTTGGAGCCGACTGGGACCAACCCACCGGGGACGTCCGCTCGGTGAGGACCAGGAAACGGGCAGAGCAAGTAAAACAGGACGCTCAAGTCAACCGCAAAACAAAGGACCGTATCCTGTACACCTGTAGGACAGTACCGACAGGACATGCCAGAAGGGTGCCCTGCAACCTTCCAGGCATGTCAGAACCCAAGCAGTGTTGTGGACGCCGATGATTTACCCTACAGTATTGTAGGCGCCATCAATTCCCATACCAGGCAAACACGGTAAAAACCCCCCACATGCCTCTGGGCATCGACAGTGTTGTGGGCGCCGTCATTTGCCATACATGGTGAATACGGTAAAACCTCCCACATGCGTCTGACACAAACAGTGTTATGGGCGTCTACCATCATCTTGTACCCGACGGCGTGGGCAACAAGATTTAGTAGCATACAAACTCTCACTCTCTCTCTCTCTCACTTGTAAAGGCCGTCCCCTTCATTTATAAAAGGGGATGCGCTCTCTCCCAATAGGGAGAAATCAGTTCACAACTCAAGCACCACACACAATCCGAACGACCAAGGATCCCAACGAACAACAGACGTTCGAACACTTAACGCACAGCGGAGCTCCCGTCACTCTCGGCCCTTCAGACCGGAGTCCGATCGGACCTCTTGCTCCCCCATTTTTCTCCCTTTCGTTTGTAACCCCACAACAAACTTTGAGCACCTGGGCTTAGGAATAAAGTCACCGACCGACCCAAACTGGACGTAGGGCACGTTGTCTTAACCAGTATAAACCCTGTGTCATTGAGTGTTAGGCCACATCCGATCACAATGTACGACAAAACTACAAATATTTACGTGTTGGTCATTTTCTGCACCGACACTCAGAAAAAAAAAACTTTTCGGTTCGGGCTCTTCTATATAAAAACACCTCTGTTTTCTTTGGGCTTCTTGTGAGGAACAGCAAGAAGCCAGACTACACACAAGACGCGCGTTTTTTAATCCGTGTTTGGTGTACCAAATATAATGCATATATGCTTGTTTAGCTTGACCCCGTTGGAACTGCACACAAGGCGCGCGTTCTTGTTATGCATGCTTTTGTTTTAGGGCCCGTGTGGTCAGTGGTGGCGATGGGGCAGAGGCAGAGCGTCCGCGGTCGTCGATACAGACAAAAACAAGGTAGGCGGAGAAGGAAGGAAGGAACAGAGGCGGCAGAGGGAATGGGCTGGCGTCCCACCTGCTGCCTGCTACCGCTGGAGCAGCGAGCCTGGGGCTGGACTGCACGTCTCGCCTGCAGGATCAGAGGTCCCTTGCGGCAGCGGCAGGCAGGGGAGGATTGGGATTGTTCATCCCCGTCTGGCCTGTCTCGTCACCATCAGATCCATCATGCGGCGGTAGTCTACCAGAGTAACCACCGCACACGCCCCGGGTTGCTGTTGCTGTAGCCTGTACTACGTACCGCAGGTACATACTGTACAGACGTACAGGTACAGCCAGCGTGCGGATGGATCGCGCAGGCAGAGGCAGATGGCCTAGAGCACACGTTGCAACCCCCCCTCTTTTCCTTTGCCTTTGTCGCCCTCAGCACGCACGCAGCGCAGAGACGCAGGCACAGGCACCGCATTTTCCTTCTCCTCCTCCTCGATCTCTCCTCCCCAGCCCCCACCCTGCTCCGACTACCAACCGCATGCGCCATGCAGCCGGGGCCCACCTCGCCGCCGGGGCCGGAGCCGGACGACTCCCCTCGCCACCAGCGGCCGAGGAGGCTCGGGCTGACGACGACGACGACGTGGTCAAGGCGGCGGCGGGGGGGGACCCAGGAGGACCACGACGAGAGGAGGAGGGCGCCACCGCATCCGCCCGGGGAGGAAGAGACGGCGGCGCGGCGGCGGAGGCCCCTCCTCCTACTCCACCTCCTCCTCCTCCTCCCGCTCCCCCGCCGCCGCGGGGACGCGGGGGGTCGTCATGGTCAAGCGGGACCTGCTCGCGCGCTGCATGACGTGCCCGCTCTGCCGCGGCCTCCTCCGCGACGCCACCACCATCTCCGAGTGCCTCCACACGTGTGAGTCCCCCCGCCTGGCCCGCCTCCCTCGCTACGTGCTTCCTAGTATTTCGTGATCCGTACGTAACCAACCAGCTGGGCCTGGCCGCCTGGGCGTCGGCGGCGTCCTAGGATTTCGTTCCTCCGCCCGCGCACGTCGCCCCGCCCGCGCCTTCTTCTCGATTCCACGCGTTTTACCACCTCCGGTACGTCGGATTTCACCCTCCGCTGCCTCCACGTGCGCCCACCCGCCTCTGCACCGCGTTCGGGGAGGATTCGGTGCGCCTTCACGTCTCGTGCAGTCGTGCTCATGGGTTGGGACGACTCTGTTCTTCGTCGTCGCCTCTCCTCATGCCTCACGTTAGTTTTATATACCTCTGTTCATCGGCGTCGCCAAATTTCGCGTCACGTCTGTGGCTGCTACCTGCGCCAAGCTTTTCTTTTCGCTCAACTATATCATTTGCCACCACAGTCCCATTTCAAGTTCTTTTCAGCCTTCTTGCTTCACTAGCTGCTTCTCCAAGCTCATTATTATGGTACTATTTGGATAGGATCTTATGTTCTCAGGCCATGTAAATGTCAATCTCGGCGCGATCATTTGTTCTGTTCTTGCGTACTTTACTAAACGCAAGCTTCTAACTGGGATTACAGGAAGCTGCACGTGCAATTCCCTTTCTGAACCGTGTTGTTGCATCAACCTTCAATATGAACCATTCGGTCTCGTTATACATGTGATTCGTGCGAGATGATAGTATTTGGTTCCCAGCAAGCCCAACGTCATGCAATTGTTGACTGAGATGACAGTATTTGGTTCTCAGCAAGTCCCAACATCATGCAACTATTGGCTCCCTGTGTTAATTTTGTCAGTAAGAAGCCGTTTTGAAATTCTAAAGCTCGAAAGCCTAGAATGATTTCGTAACTATTGATAAGATGGTATTTTTTTAAAAAGCACAGGGAAACACTGCAATGTGAACTCTGCAATAGATGGTATTTTTAAAAAAAGCACAGGGAAACACTGCAATGTGAACTCTGCAATAGATGTAGGAAGATGGTAGCTTATGAGTTATGATTACACACATGGATCTTGGGTGCGATGTTTTTATAGTTGCTGCTCCGATGTCAACCTTCTATTGTATCTTCAGTGAGATCATTTGAAGAATTATTTTTGGGCTTCCATCCTTTTAACACACTGCCCCCCCTAGGTTTATGACATACCGTTCCACTAATTTGAAAGTTCTTTTTTTAATTAAACAATGTAATTTCAAAGCTCTAATCTTTGCACTCTGATGCAGTTTGCAGAAAGTGTATATATCAGAAGTTTGATGATGAGGAAGTAGAATGCTGCCCAGTATGTAAAATTGATCTTGGCTGCACACCTACTGAGAAGCTTAGGTATACATATTCTCATGATTCTGTATTTTATCCATTGTGCTACGTCCTATCTTAAGGTCAAAATAAACCATGCCAAATCTTTACAGTAACATTATTTTGCTGGACCTCTGATATACTGTGACTTTCCTTTGACCACATATACTTAACCTGAACGGGATGCAAAATAGATGCAAATCATTCATCTTATCTATTACTACTATCTGACATCCGCATTCATTAGGATATAGTTGCAGTTTAGATTTTCCATCAGTAAGATATGGATCGGAGTTCATTCTAGTTTTCTTATGTGAAGTGTTATCTTTTTCAAATTCGGTATTAAATGCACATGCTTTATTATTATATGTCTATACTAGTTAGTTGGATAGTTATTTTCATTTGAAAAATGTATATATGGATGTAGTTTGAGTGTTTGACCCCTATTTTGTCAGTATATTTTGGATTAAAAACCTGCACTAAACATAATTTTTTAATTTTAAAAAATGTTTTATTGCTTTATTTTCTGTAGCATCTATTAGAGTGTGTTGTTGCCAAAAACCATGCACACATTTACTATGTATTGTTATTGACGTTTCCAAGATTTTGTCACTGTTGCAGTTGATGCCAACTGCATTGGCATTTTGTGAAACTATATGTTACATTGGCATACAAATGCCCTGGAATAGCTTAATTGCTAGTACATTATAGTGCATGTCTTCTTTAATTTAGTTGAAAAACGAATGGTTTGTAGTTTTGTCTGTATAGTTTGCACCTCTATGGCTCTACCTTGTGCCTTTCTTATACTTGTGTTTTATGATTTTCAGAGCCGATCACAGCTTACAAGATGTAAGATCAAAACTTTTTCCATTCAAAAGAAAGAAGATTAATGCAGAAGAAGTTCCATCTAGTATTTCACTTCCCACTAAAGTTAAAGAAAGATCTATCTCTTCATTAGTCGTCGATACACCTAAAGTAAAACCAACAGGCTTGACTGGACGGCGAACAAGAGCAGTTGCCAGAAAAGCTGCTGCCGCCGCCGCCGCCGCTGCCTTGCATGAACTTGGTCCAATTATTGAAGATCCTGTGAAAAAGGAAGTTGATAGTTGTGACAGTCATTCTCACAATTCAAATTTGCCTGCTAATTCAAGCAAAGCACCACAAACAAGAAGACAGGTAAACAACATGCTCCTTATGATTCATATCTGCTGCGTCTCATGCTAGTTAGAGCAGACTAGCTTTGAAGTCATGGTTTTGCACCCTGAACTCCCAAAAGGGGTGCATTGACTAGAAGAATGCACATAGTGGTAGTAATGTGATCCTATTGTCTGCAGATACCACCTAATGCGGAGGCATCTAACCATTCCTCCAACAAAGACACTGAAGGTGATAGCAAGGATGAGTTGGCAGATAAGTCTGAACTCTGGCGTCCTTTAAATTGTTTAGTAGAAGCTGCGAACAGGACAAAATCCTTTAGGTCAAGTTCACAGAGTCCAGTTGTTAAGGGTGAGCAAATCAATGGCTCTACGGTGGTGGTACATTTGCTAGCAAAGCAAAGGCAAGGGAGAATCTGGAGAAGTCCAAAACTGAGGATGACAAAAAAGATGTTCCCACGCCACCAGTGCTGCCAAAAAGAAGAGCTCAAGGTACTGCACGGAAGAGGAAAGATCTTCAAGCTCCAACAGATGTGAAGCCCGATGCTGCAGCTGCTCAGAGTGCAAAGAAGTTCAGCTCTGTATGGTTTTCATTGATTGCCTCGTTTGACCAGTAAGCATTTCCAATTCATCACAGGATCCCTTTGTCTTAGTATCCAAGAAACCAAATAGCAAGCATGGACTTCTTTCTGATCTTCTTGTGCTTTAATTACTTTCAGGCAGGGAGATCCACCTTTACCACAGATTCCTTCCCACTATTTACGAATAAAGTGAGCTCAACTTTACTCATCTTTAGATTAAACAGTTTAATGCCCTAATTTAATTGATTTTTCTATACTTGACCTTGAGTCAAATTCTTATTTATTTATTATACTTGATTTTCAGCAGATACATCTATGTCAAACAGCACAATACTAGACAGAAAATGTAGGAACTTCCATTAGAAGGAAAATAGGAAGAGAGATAACTTGTATGACAAGTACATAGCACTGATTATCTTTGCCGGTAGCAGCACATTAACAGAATTGAAGAGCATTTTGTTCACAAACTTTTATCCATAATCCTATATTGGAGCTATCTACAAAATGCTGGTCCTAGGTGGACTTGAAGATTAAGACAAATCTTGTTTTCCCCATGCCTTGATACTTGATATTCATCCATAGATGTGTTGATAATGTAATAAGATGAATAGCATTATATTTACTTGTTTGTAAATTTGAATGATATCTCTTCAGTAGTATAGTTACAAGATCAGATTTAGTTCCATTGTGAAATTTGTTTGTGTCCATTGTGAAATTTGTTTGTGATATTTAATAAATTGATTTTGTGTTGCTTTGTGAATTAATATCATATCCTTTCGATCAAGACTGATATGCTAATTTTATAACCACAGAGACGGAAATGTCCCTGCTTCATCCATCCAAAAGTACCTCATGCAGAAGCTCAGTCTTCCAAGTGAGTCTGAGGTGAGAAATCAGAGTCATCTGTGTCTTGTATAGTATTGTTGGGCCTTTGTACACTTGATTTCTCCTCTTAAGAGCTAAGAAATATCCATTCTTTACTGGGATTTCAATTATCTTTTGACAGACCTGTTGCCATGCGAAGGTGAAACAATTGCTTCATTGTTCTTTTATTCTTTTATAGGAACACATTTATCGATTTGAACAGTAAAGTATTCATAAAAAGATGCATCCTGTATCAACTGCATGACACTCCATATGTTGACCGCTCTTTACAATTTCTCCCTGATGATACTCTTTGCACTTCCATTTGCACCCTGTAGACATATTCTTCGATTTTTTATATATAATTGCAATAGGTATTCTTCTATCTGTTTGGGCTTTTGTGGAGGACTGCCGCAGGAACCAAGCATGATTGACAGTCTGAATAGCTCTTGATATTTCTGTTACAGGTGGAAATAAAGTGTTGCGAGCAGCCAGTGAACCCTTCACAACCTCTGTGCAATTTAGTAGAGCTGTGGCTGAAGGGAAGAGCGACACAGACAACTCAGACCATGACCGGTTCGTCCGCTAAAGAGTTTGTAATGGTGCTAACATACGGACGGCCAAAGGCCCCTGCAATGTGAAGGCACCATGCAAACATTTAGGCCCTCAAACCTATTTTTCCTGCGAGGCAGGCATAGCCAGCCAATTGTTGGCCCTTTGGAAGAGGTCATCAAAGATAACTCTCCCTGACGACACAGCCTCACAATATGCAGTGGTTGGCTCACTTCAGAGCTAGCCCTTGGTGTCACATTCACGTATTCTTTGATGTTATAGCATATGTTGTTTGATTCCTTTAGGATGTCTTTTTCTTATTTATTATACATCGATAGTGGTATAGATAGAAACTTGTGATTGATACTTGTAGGTATCATTGATGTTTTGGTTGGCCATAAATTATATAGGGAGAGAAACTCGTAGCCTTTGCTAGTAAGAGATGACCAGAGTTGATTGCAGAGTCTTTCTGCTGTACCGTGACTTATTGTAACACCAAATTGTAACTCTATATTTGTCTTCGAACTCGTTAGTGACTATTTTTTCGGATCGACTCATGCATTATATTATACTCCTTACTCCTTGTTTCTGGACCTGCCGGCCTTAGTTTCACTTTCACATGCAGTTAGCTAAATGCTGTTAGATGTTAGAACTGATCATATATGATTTGATTTGTTTTCGTTGACTGTCTTTTGCTTTCATGCACTGCACTATTACCAGCTCTATTTTGTGTCTTTAAAAGTCTTCTCGGAAAATAATTGTGTTGTCCCAATTTGCCAGGCTTCTTGTGATGGACTGATGGTACGGAATAAGAATGTGTCTGCTAATTTACCCATCTCGTTGCTACAATAATAACTTCCTCGTGGCTCATGGTTATTTCAGTCATAAGTTCAATGTCAAAGCCTTTGGTGAAGTTAAGTTCTCAAATCGACCTGATCTGAACATAGTTTTTGCGGCCGAGTGGCTAGGTTGTTTACTTGTTTATGTTTCTTTCCTCAAACGGAGGATACTTTACATTTACAATGGCTAAATACACCACACAATAATGGTTTAGTCAACCTTTCTAAGTCCATCTTTAATCATGATGCTTCTAACATATGGCGGGCTGGTAGCGGTTTGGTGTTGAGATAGCAGATCACGGATAGCGAGTGCTATTGCGGACATTAGGTTCCAATTATGATATATAATAATCACACATAAATTTATGTATATATCATGAATAATAAATATAAATAGACATTTAATTCACTATACTAAAATAATTGATGTCTCACATACTTTAAATTAAGAAAAGAAACATGCATGGTGTTCAACACATTACATATAAGTCAGTACATAATAGAGTTGGAAAGGGTGCCTACCTAAAACGGTTACGTGGCCTCAGTAGCACTCAGATCCTGAGCTCAACTTCCCGTGGGAGCAGGCAAGGAAGGTCTTCTCTATCACAGCAATGCCCGGGGTGGCTTATCCCTCGTAGGTCGAGTTTTTCTTATTACATAAGAGTTTATAAAGAAATAGATTATGAGAGTTATAAAATCATGATTCATTGTCACTAGAAACTACGCGCGGCGTTGCCGCACGATAGCCTGTTTTGGCCAGTCCGTGATGCGTGAGTAATAGACCCCAGCCGGTTTGTCACGATTGTTAATACATTGTTAAATATGGGCAATGGACGCCTCATCTTATAACACCTGGTGATAGTTTAGGGCTTTAGGCCATGTTAAGATCCGTGGTGTTTAGGTAAGTTTCTTTTGTTTGTATAGTATTTGTTTGTCACATGAGTGATTTCCGTACATTAGAAGTGATGTAAAACTAAGCAGGGTTTTTAGAGCGCATGAATTTATTTTAACATGAACAGTGTAGTAAGGAGAAATGTTGTCTTTGTCGGAGAGAATCTAGAGTTTCAATTACTATCAAACTAGGAAGACGCGCGGCGTTGCCGCGCTCTTCGGTGAAGGGCCAGCTTGTATGTGTAAGCTCTGATCCGGTTTATCCTGAGCCTGTCACTTTTCAGTCATATACTATTCAAGATTGAAACATGTCAACATATTCATAATTGTTTTCTCCTTCCGTTGCTGATTCAAATTGAGCTGCAATCTGTACCAAGTTAGCAACCCCTGTTTCATTAATAATTGTATGTACCAGATATTTTTTTTGTCAGGAATAAGGATAAAACCCTGCTAACATTAGCGCATAAGTTATAAAAAATGAGGTTTGCAAATGTTGAGAATTGACAGTTTTCATTAGTGATGATGTCAGGAATACTATTCTTTTAAGGTTATCCTGTTAGGATATTACATAAGTAGTTATAAATTCGAGCAAAGGAACTATGATGAGAGTAGAATTGTATATTTGTTGCAATAGGGTGTACACTTACTGGTGTTAGTCCCAGGCTGCTACTTAAACTATGCAAAAAAAAGAATTTCAGGACCATTTCCTGCATACGCCTTATCCTATAATAGGTTGACACAACCTGATAAACAGGCTGTTTCTACAACCTAAAATAGCATCATTTGATATTTCTGTTTGGACACGTGGATAATGTCTATGATATACTGATTTGCCTCCATGTACTCACCCTCTCCACCTTGGTGACATTTACATGGGCAGTACAAATGGGATTAGTATAAAAAATATGAGATGAAATGCAATGTTTAATAAAAAAAGCTATTGACGTGCCTGAACCGTGATTAGGAGATCATTATGTTGGGTTTCAACTCTAGCCTACCCAAACTTGCTTGTGACTGAAATGCTTTGTTGTTGTTGTACACCTCCAATGATATGGCATTAAAAGTTGCAAATGCATGTACTTAATTTGTTGCATAAACAGTGGCACATATTAATCGATGTAAAGGTTCAGATAATTTCAGAGTAAGGAAGTAAATCAAGATCTATATAATCGATGTGCAGTGGGGAAAGTTAGAGCAATCCCAGTGTATATTATCTAACTCCCTCTTAACCCTAAGAGATCAAAAACCGATATCTCTTCGCTAGGATCATGCGACGTAAGCCTTCTGCTCACGCCACTCGGCAGCAAGATCTGGAACCTGTACACTCTTGAACGATCATCTTCCTTGATCTCATTACAATACTGTGTTAAAGCATTTCTCTTGGATCCTCTGCTTGCCTCTGCCATCCTACAGCAAAACCTACTCATCACTTAATCTTCATATGAAGTTGCATTGCAAGAATTACTAACAAGACATGATTCACTTATGGAAACAATCACTTGACAATATTGTTTGTCTGGAAGTGCCATGCCCATGGAATGAACTGCAATAGATATATTAAGCCATTAATTTGATTGAGGAAGTTTTTTGAAGCAATACAAAGATGCGAACCTTTGGTTTTGGGTGCTTACTGACAGATGGAATAGGAGCAGACCTTGTGCAAAATATTCTTCCCGGTAACAGCAACCTCAGCTTGCTGGCATTTCGCCAAGCACCTTGCGTGCGCTCTCATGACTGTTCTCCTGCACATGACTGTTGACATGGGAACAATTCAGCTGCACGAAATAGCAGTGGAGGCAGAGCACACGGGGGAGGCGAGACTCGGGAGTACGAGCGCCTGATGAGGCTGGTCTCGTCGGGAACCGCAGCGAGCAGACTGGACGGGCTCACCTACTGGAGGATGTTGGGGGAGGGGACCAGCATGGCGCCCTCAGCTTTTGCAGATGCCTCTGAGCAGACTGGACAAGCTTTTCCATATGCCCTCAGGTCGCCCGCACGGGCCGCGCCGCCTTGCTGATAGCTAGCAACTGCGCTTGTGGTCCGCACCTCCGCGGCCGCGTCCGGCTGCCCTGGGACCACGCCCGTGCGAGTCGTGCTCGGCTTGACAGCGCGGGTCGCGCCGCCTCGCTGGTGGCTGGCGCCTGCGCTGCCACGGCGGCGGCCGCGCTTGTGCGCGGTTGGTTGCGCCCTTGCCGTGGCCCATGCATCACGGCCGAGGAGGCGGTTGCGGAGGAGGCTAGGAGCTGGCGGCGCGGCAAGCGGAGGCCGTAGGCTGGCCGCGGTTGCGAGGAGTGGGGAGCGGCGATCTCCGGGGCTGCGAGGAGTAGGACGGGATGCCCCTTGCCATGGCCCATGCGCCGCGGCCGAGGAGGCGGTCACGGAGGGGCTGGCGGCGTGGCAGGCGGAGGCCGTTGGCCGCCGGCTTGCAAGGTGGAGCGTGTGGAATCAGGACCTCGACCCGGGTTCGCGAGGGAGGCACGCCGGCCCATTTAAAAGGCCTGGATTGATGGTTGATTTCCATAAAGTTTGAGGACTTTTTTTGAAAAAACAAACTGAAAGGAGGTCTGAACTGCGGGTTAATTCTACTAAAGCTCAAGGTTTCTTTTGCAAAAATACCGGGTCGCACGATCTGGGCCATCCGCGCGGCCGATCCGATGGCCGGGAAAAGCAGGCGACGTGGGCACGCCGCCTGGCCCTCTTTTGGCCCTTTTTTGGGTGCAGGATTCCTATAAGAAAGATGGTGGTGGCAGAAAGAGTAACATTGCGGCTCGTAATGATTTGAGAGCCTTGTTTCCCTCATGTGGTAGCCATCGACATCAAGCTGCCCACCGGGGATGCGCTCAACCCATCGAACTAAACCCAAATATGTAGAAGTAATGCTACAAACACATAAAAATATAGCCTATCAACTAAAATTATGAGCGAAGTTGACATATAAATGGAGTTTGTCATGTGGACCGTGCGATCTCACTGATAGGTCAGACCAACTTATGGTTGTTGTAGTAATAGGTATGGAGCGGCTGAAACTTTTCTAGACCCCATAGCAAATTAATTATTCGTAGCAAAATAATGCAATTAAGTAATGGGAAGTGAAGCATTTGTTGAAAATAATAAGTATCAAAGTATGTAACTTGAGTGATTTTAAAGTAAGAGGAGGCCAGAAGTGTAAAGGAGTTTCAGTCAATATTGATTTTCGTACACTCTAAGTTTCTCATTAGTACCCAGTGAGAACCGTCAGACACTCTTATATTTTTCTATGGGGAGAGCAGAGGTGGCTCAACCACGCCACGCCACGCTTATAACCTGGAAGAAATATCCATCAAACACTTTTGTTCATAACTTGGAAGAAATTGATTAAA